AACACGGATTACAATAAATATATAGTTCCTCCTACTTTGCAATCTGATGTTCCGTTTAACAATAATTTTAGCAATGAGAATCATAATTATATGGTTTTATGAAATAAATATTATGATTTTATGAACTATATTTTTAAGTTACATTAAGAATATTTTTCATAGTAAAAAGCACTATTCTATATGTTTGGCGCCTCAGGATACTATAAATTATAGTGAAATTATGGTTATTTCAACTATATTTTTCTATCAGTGTACTTGACCATAAGATGAAAATCTGTAATGCCATGACGTACGACAATGATTGTTCGTAACAAAGATCCAGTTTCACCAACGTTGTTCAAGCTGAGCTTAATTCATTCTTTGTCTCTTTCCAACTGTTACTTTAGAACGAGACAAACGTGAATTAGACTAAGATTAAAGTTAAGCGACGTTTGGTGAAACCGGGCCTGAGATTGAAAGAAATGTCAGCTCACCCTTGTGGTCCAGAAGCAAAAAAAAAACTCGCAAAGTCCAAGTCGGTATAAATTAGCTATCAAGAAATATATATTCGTTGAGTGTTAAACGCATGACGAGCTTGCACTCAAGTCATAAGGATAAATACATCGATATTTATTCCACCGATACGACAATTTCTCGTTTGTCGTTCGATTGAAAAAATCTGGGCATCGATAACTGTAATAATTCATAGACAAACTCCCTGCAAAGCACAGTATATATTGTTATCTGTTATTGAAAATAATTTTTCATATCGCCATTCGTATCGCCGTCTCTCATAATCTCTTTGCAGCGGTTTAGTTCTTTTATTTGGTTTTTCTATGAATCTGAGGTATCGGCGCCTGCAGCAGTGCACGTCTGTAAAATCGCGCGTACAACGATAACATTTGAACTTCGCGGAGTTCGTTGGCATAATTTTGCCGCCTATCTTTATTGCGCTTACGTAAGATCGCGGTTAATTTGGAGTTCAGCGTTAACCGTGAAATTAATCCGACGCGCTTGCTTATCAGCGCGCGCGAAGTCACAATTGGCTTCGCGCGCATCGAGTCTTTCTCGAGGCTGCCGCGGAATTGAATCGAAGGACATGCCCACAACAGAACAACATATTTACATACAAAATACACGCCATTTATTTTGCAAGTATCGCGAAGGTTCTCGCCGGAAACAGCTCATTACCGACTTCGTTAAAAACACACTATCGCAACGCCGGACTTCTTTATCTGCCATTTCTGAACTAAGGCTCTTTATCGGCCTATTGTAAAATACGAGTGGAAATTTAATGAAACGAAAACAGGTCAATGTGTAATTTCTAGGCTAACCGCGCAAGATTAATCGACGTTTTCGACGTTTAGCAAATGCGAGAGACTAAAGAAATAACGAAGAAACAATTTTTCTCAAATCGCCTCCAGCCGAAGGCAGGACGGTTTAGACAAAATCAATATTTAATCGCAATCGGACGTCTGTAATGAACCTTCGGGCCTAAGAGTTGGTCGAATTGGCCTTGGACGACGCTGTCCTATGTTCTATCGCGCGCGCATTTAACACTCGCGTGTTCTGGACACAGCTACTGGATGCAGCGATGCGTAGATTTAAACGTCAGCCGCAGTCGCCGGTGTCGAAAATAGACTCCGGCCCGGGTGCGTCTAATAGAAGCGTGTGCCACGTCAAGCTTTATCGGGTCTCTTTCTTCGTCTTTCAGGATATGCATGGGTTACACTGGCTACGAACGATGCCTACTCCCTGGGGGCGCTGGTCCTGGCGCACTCGCTACGCCGGGTCGGCACCAAGTACGAGCTGGCCTGTCTGGTCACTCCCGGAGTCACGGCGACCATGAGGTATCGTCCTTGCCCAAGTTTAGTACTCCCTAGTAGCACAGTGCATTGGCTAAACATTGGCTGAACATTGACCCAATGTTGGTTATATTAAAAATGCATTAGCCGATATTGTGCAACGTAAAACCAATATTGGCCATGGAATAAATGTAAATATTGCACGATAATTATATAATATTAGACTTATTGGAAGTGCAGTGGCCAATATTTGCAATGTAATAAGCAACCCCGTAAGCAAACTGATAGCAGATTGTAGGCAGACTGGCAACAGATTTCATCAGAACATTTCAGCAGATTGATATCATCGGTGTCCGCATTCAGCCTGTGTTCTGCCGCCAGAGTTTGCTGACAAGTTCGGACAGCATTGTCGGCAGAAACCTAGCAGGATCGGCGTGGCAGTTTGATGGCAGATTGGTGACAAAAACTGAGCAGGATCTGCCGTATAAGGACAACGTCCCACTGACAATGAGCAGAATATGCGAAAACGGAATCAGCGGATGGCCAATCACAAGATCATTCTGATAGAACCCTTTCTAAATTTTTTTCGAAACGGTCTTGTGATTGGCGATCCGCTGATTCCATTTTCGCGTATTCTGCTCCATGGGACATGGAGCCCTAATTTATATTTTTTACAGTTTTTGTTCCTTTCATTACAAAAATAAAAATAAATAAATAGTACTTTAAGATCTCTACACACTCGTAGACAAGAGTGCAAGGAAGCTCATTTCAGCACTTCAAAAAGTTGACCAGGACATCTCATGTGGAAGTTAATTTATAATGCCGCGTGTGGTTTTCTTCTTACGAGAAAGTGTTCTACCGCATGTCCATCTAGCGAGAACGTTACGCTACTAAACGATAGAGTTTGCTCCGTTTTGTTACTAATCTGTCGACAAATTGTGTCAGCAGATTCTGCTCGGTTTCGGCTGCAATCTGTCGCCATGTTGCGTGATCAGGATCTGCTCGATTTCTGCCGCTAATCTGCTATCTAAACATGTTATCAAGGTCTGTTATATTTCTGTTGATGTTCTGCCAACATCATGTAAAATATCAGAGCCTGTATCAAATTTGTAGTTTTTCTGTCGACAAAATTTAGAAACAGAGTTTTCTGAAATCTGTTCTCTACAGGCTTGGCTGTCTGGGAATATTAAACCAATCCCAGATAGCACAAGACGCTCCTATGGACATTTTAAGAATATTCTTCAAGAATATTTGGAATATTCCACAGGCCATTCTTATATATTTATCTTCTGTTCGTGGAACATTCGACTGGTACTATTATAAATCTTTTTCGAATGGAAATAGAATAATCTATCGAATATAGCGTGTCGGTTATATATGGTATGATCACAGGTCTCACTGCCTTTTGCATAAGATAAGTGTATTACACAATAAACAATGTGCAATACATAAACTCGATGAATATTAAAAAATTATTCCAAAGACATTCATGACGAATATTCTAAAAACGTTCTCTATTATGAATATATGATTTCTAATTGTAATAATCTATGTGCAGGGTGTCCCATTTCTCAAAAACTAAGCCCAGCAAACAAAAATGTTTCAGACAAAAGTTGTTGATATTAATTAGTAGAATAAGATAGTATAATAAACAATAGGGGGTTCCATTTAAAAAAGTAAAGGTGACCTTTACGTGACCTTCAAGCAACTATTCAAGGTCAAATTAATGACACCGTCTTATGCCCCCCTCGAAACCATACAACTTTTGTCTGAAACATTTTTGTTTGCCGGGCTTAGTTTTTGAGATATTTTACTGTCCAAGTTAAACTGGGACACCCTGCATATTTATAGACTATTCGATTGGAATATTTTAAAATTAAGAATATTTGCGACGCGTAATGAGCGTTTTTTTTCTTGCGCCAGGGAAAAATTGTCAGCAGTATTCTCCTTGGTGCAGGAAGTCAATGTTCTCGACTCGAAGGACGAGGCGAACCTGGCCTTGCTGGCCAGGCCAGAGTTGGGCATCACTTTTACCAAGTTGCACTGTTGGAGGCTGACTCAGTACGAGAAGTGTGTATTCGTTGACGCAGACGCGCTTGTGAGTAACGCGAAATTTTATTTAAATTATATTTAAATATATTCACCGTGTACTCTCTTCATGTTACATTTTATTTACATAAAAAAAAACCGAAGTTAAAATTTAAATTGGAATTGTAATTAAGGCTTTTATGCTGCATTTTCTGCTGTAATATGATTGAAAAGCGAGCTACATATTGTTTAATATTAAAGACAAGATGACACGCGGTATAAAAGACACGGAGTCGAAATCATTACAGGGGAATCTATCAGGACGCTGTAGGTACGTTTAATGTTTTTAGGTCGTACGAAATTGCGACGAGTTATTCGAGCGAGAGGAATTATCGGCCGCGGCCGACGTCGGATGGCCCGATTGCTTCAATTCCGGAGTGTTCGTATTCAGGCCGTCTCAACAAACGTTCGCGTCAATCACCGCGTTTGCCGCCGCCAAGGGCTCGTTCGACGGCGGCGATCAAGGCTTGCTGAACATGTACTTCAGCGACTGGGCCACGAAGGACATCTCCAAGCACCTACCGTTCATCTACAATATGTGCTCCACCGCGACGTATTCCTATCTTCCCGCATTTAAACAGTAAGCGCACGCGCTCTCCTTCGACCCGCCACGTTTAAGTCCCCCCCCCCCCTTACGTTCTCTAATTGTTGGTTTGCATCCTAGATTCGGCGACGACGTGAGAATAATACACTTTATCGGCATAACGAAACCGTGGTTACAGTATTTCGATACCCTGACCGGCACCGTCCAGCCGCCATCGGGATCAGTCCACTTGCAACCGCTGTTGCAACTGTGGTGGAACTTATTCTGCGAGCGAGTGCATCCCCAACTGTCGCCCTCGATGGTAAGCTTGACCGATAATTAACACGTTTTAACACAGTATGCATTTATTACGCTAAAGTGATACTTCTAAACTGACACACTCGAAGTGCATACCTATTTTTTGTTTCACTAAAGTTTATATTTCTAATAAAGAGTCAATGACAATGACATGTGAATAACGTGCTCTTGCTCACTTTACACCTGTGCATTTGCCTGCAAAAAGTAACGATACCGCAGTTTCTCTCTTACGCTCGTGCATTTGTTTTACAAGCAAAGCAGTGAGCAATTATATTCAATTATAAACAAGACGAGGGTAAGATACTCTTATATACGCGTCTCTACTGCTTGTAGTTTCCCAGTAGATTATTTTCCATAGTTTTACTGTTATTATTTGAAATAAATAGGATTCACTTTTGTTGCGTACACGCGATGCAAATTACGATGTAATTTTGAGAGAGTTTTATCGTCACGAATCTTTGAGAATTATTGATATTGAATTTTACTGGCGAATATCAGAATTGCATCGAGTTCGCGGTCTTTTTGTAAATATAGTTATTACACAGCTGAAATTTCTCGAAATGCTTGCATTTTCTAAATGACTTTTTTTAATGCTGTATGGAAGCTGCTTGCGTGGTAGCATTTGAAAATAGAATCATAGCTGCGTTTTTTTTCGCTGCCTCTTTATATGATTTAAAGTGTGTAAATTTCTTTGCACTTTAAATATATTTTGAACCCGTGATTCTCCAGAGAGAATCCCTATAATATTTCGTAGGGTTCAAGATATATTCTTGATTTGCCTTTTCTTTTTGTACATATTTACAGTGCATATTAATAGCTGCATATGATTTTACATCTACTTTCATGACGTACGATTCTGAAAATATCAAGTATTTTCAGCGGAATGCAATGAGAATTTATGCATACACTTTTTATCCCATAACAGCTCAAACGAATAATGCGGCTATTAATACGACGGATTTTTCTAGTATTAAACCAGTGTCTATTTTTTTTCTCTGATCTCTGTTCTTTCTAACTCATACACTTGTAACTCGTGTAAAAGTTCAATTTGGTCGCTATGTACAATAATTTAATTGCATTATTCGTAATATCTGTAATGGATGGGTCGAGCATGAATGTTATTCGTGTGGCATTTTGAAGCGGTTGATACAAGAACTTGTTTTATTTAACGGTGAAATAACATTATCGCTACCGTGTAATGTCGTCAAACGTGTACATAATATGGAAGACATGACGCTGTAAGAAAAATGGACACTGTCAAACTTAGTTCGATACTAACCGATCGAGTGTGCATTTTTCTGTTTTGGCATGATGCTTGCATAGGCCACCAGCACATTGGCTCCAATTTGGCACGCATTTACTCCTCCGTCCTATGTACCCCCCTTTCCCAAGATCTCCGATGCGACAGACCGCAACACGCACAGCTCTCGGATGCCGGATTTCTCCGAGTTTAAAGATCCCTGGGAGGAATATTCTCCGCGAAACGATCCACTTTCGGCCGACGATAGCGCAACGAGTGATAAGGGCGAGAACTGTTACTGCGGAATGAAATACGAAGGAGCGGACGCTGCTCGTCAAGGCGATCGCAGCGCGGCCCAACTCGCGCACGATCAACAATTTCAGCAACAGCATTCTTCTTATACACCCGTTCAAGCGTACGACCAACATCAAGAGCACGCGACTTCTCATCCCGGAGAGAATCGCGATCAAGAGCAGCACAGTGAACATCATCACTGGCAGCAACGCAGCGAGCAGAGACACCCCGTTGAACAGCACCAGCGTAATGAACAGTGGACTGAACAGAGACATCAGCATGCGCAGCACCAGCATCACGAGCAAAGGTATCCTAATGAGCAGCAACATTACAACGAGCAAAGACAATATAGCGAGCATCACCAGTTTCATCAACATGACTGGCACAGAAGTAAGGCGGACGATCATCATCAGCATCGACCGGTTCAAGAATTGTTACAATCCGCCGAGATGAGGCACGAGACTCGCGCGCAGCATCACGATAATCAAACTAGTCATCGAAATGCGGACCATCCGAGTCACATTGTTCCTCACAACCAGTCCCAGCGTACCGATAATCAAGATGCTCGGGACGACTTGGCATCTCATTGCTTTCGATGCAACGAAAAGAGTAGCGAGCAGGCGTTGGAGGCTGCGAATGAGCAGACAGACGCGCGGAGAATCGATTTCCTTCCTCCCCCTCCCGCACCTTGTACAGATCTCCACAATGTAGCCACGCGATCTGACCCGAATGTAACGGAACATCTAGACAATGCAAATGTAAGTAATTGTTCCCATATCCTTTTTCTTTTCTGAATTCGAGTCGAATATATTATCACTGTACGCCTCCGTACATATCTCTGAGAACGCATCCGCTTCTCACTTTGTTAAAAGAGAAAGATTACGAACAGCATCATGATAATTGTACTGCTGTAAAAGCAACGTTTTTCTTGTGCCATCTGTATATTCATTATTTATTTCGATGATGCTTGGGACATTACTTGCACTTTTATTGGGAATACTTGTTCGATATGTGTAACATCATTGAAAATTGTCTGCCACTTATTTATTACGTTACAAAGTTTCATTCCACATAGTAGAGATTGCAATGCAGACTGTAAATACAAATAATTCCGTTTATTTTCTGGGAAACGTAACAGTTTTGTCAATTTATCTTTGCGTGCACTAACCCGTATTACTTACACATTGTACAATATATTGCGACACGTGCATCCTATTTTAAAGTGTTCTCCATGTAAGTAGCACCAGCTTGTTGTATCGTACGTACACGTGATTTGTCTTGAGGAATGCAGAAGAGATAAAATTGCTTGAAAAACCGCTCGTGTGTTTATCGTGCTGTCATTAAGCGATTCTTCGACGTTGCGAGCGGGTGTGAAATGAAGGAACATCTTTATTAATTGCACAGGCGGGTATCGCCGGCGCTCTGGCTCAACTGACGTTGGGCGAGGCGAGGAGCGTCGAGCAAGTGGCCCTGGAGGAGCACATGAGGAAGCAGAGCTGGGAGCAAGGGCAGATCGACTATTTGGGTCGCGACAGCTTTGACAACATATGGAAGAAGATCTGCGAGACGCTCTCCTTCGCGCCGCAACGACAACCAACTCCGCCTAAAGAGGTAACTTAATGTCGGATAATATATTATATTTGTCGTAATGAGCTGAGAAATTACCGTATACGACTCGAAACATCTCTGAATTTAATTGCGATTCTAACGTAAAGTAAGAAAAAGCAATTTTAACTTTATTTATGCATTTTGTAAATAGTAACGGGAAAAGTCTAGCTAAAGACTTTAAAAGTACCTTAATCTAGCAATAATGCTAAGCTATAGCTTACGCTAGAATCGCAATTAAATTCAGAGACAGTTATTTTCAGCCGTTTAAACAGTTAGCTCTAAAAAAAAAGTTGCACGAGCAACGGTGAATTCTATCTTGCTGATGAGTAATTCATACAATGAATATTCGTAGGACACCGCTACTTTGAAGACTACTGCGAAAGAGACTGCTACAAAAGAGACTGCCGTGAGAGAGACCGCTGACGCATCTGCAGATGTCAAAGTGGATAAACCAGCCGGTACGTCTCCTTCTTGCACATGAAATCACGTTACCGTATTAAATTAAAATTGTAAGAAATATTTGAAGCGCACTTACGAATTACAAGTAAGCATATATCATAAATTAAAATACTTCATGCACGCAGATATTGAAATAACGACACGACATCTGGCTCGAACGAGCACCGCTCGCCGATCGTCGAATTAATTAAAGAAATGCGAGATGTAACTTTTTGGAATAATTTGATGTGCTCTTACGATGCAAAGCCATTAACTGTTTCCTCGAGTATGCTTTGCGGTTTTTGTTTGTTTTTTTCGTTCCACTTAATACAGCATGCGATAATCATAGTTACGATTAATGCGATTTCATAGTACGAATCGAAGACGTCGAGCGATTAAAAATCGATACGCTTAAATTGATACGCGAATTCGTTGCGATATATACGAAACCGATATACTTTTGTTAATGCAATTTATCTAGTTTGAGTGTTTGTGAAACAGGAACAGAGGACAGCAACTAACAGATCCCGGCGCCATAGCATTGCTGCGTCTTGTATTGTCGTTTTGCTTTAATGGGGTAAATATTTTACGTACTCACACACGAAACAACACGTTCTGACCTCTTTCTTTTTTTATCCTGTACTACAGAATTGTCAAAAATGATGCAGTCTGTTAATCTTATTGCTAGATTAAGTACTTTTAAAGTTTTTAGCCGAGTTCTTTTCGTTACTGTTTACACAAATGCATAAATAAAATTTAAGTGGCTTCTTTTACTTTACGTTGGAAATTTTTTTAGCTTGTTCACACAACAGATTCTTTGGAAACAACATACGTTTAAATCAAGTGAACTGTACGTGTCTCCAACATATTTTTAAAGCTGTGTACATAATTGATTTATTAAATGAAATGTATGTAAATACGAACAAAATGTGTGAGGTACAATCTAATACGAATACTCTGAAAATTGTTACTTTACGCTTTTTTGTATGACTAGCACGCCTTTATAAATCATAGTTGTGTACTAATTAAACATTTCGCATCAAACATAGCTGCTTTAACCCGCTGATATAATCGGCTTTTGTTAATTCTTTTGACAAGCTGTCATGCATTACATGTGCAAAATATCGAGCTGTATCCATCATATGCTTTGTATGCTTTATGTTAACAACGAGCACATGAGCGTTATTTATAATTCACATGCGGAATCATATACATCTGGTCTACCGAAATGCTTAGCAAATGTATATTATTATTAATGGTTGTTTGTTCATGGTTTACCCGCACATTGTACCGTTCAAACTCGTGGTACATTTCGATGTGTTGGTACGGAATCGGATTTTCTCATCGTGATCGTCATTCATGGCTTGTTCTACCTAAAACTAGAGATGTAAATGTATCCATACATATGCGATCCTTTCATTATTAATCGATAATTTGATAATTTCACTTCTATTTAAGTTAATAAAAAAAAAAGACGGTCTCTATTCACCGTACCAAAATTTTTGCACGATTTCTTCATTCGATTCTTTAGAATAGTTCCTTCTGTACGCGTTTGTTTGATCGCATTTACACCTGTCACTTCCGTTTTTTCTTCATCCAGTTGAAGCGGACAAGGATCCAATGCAAACTCTAGTATGCGAGGTTTCCAAAGAGGAGAAGCTTTCGGCGACGCAAATCCCCGAGCAGAAAGCACCCGCGTTATCCTCCGAGAAAAGTATCACGGTAGAAGCTGCCGAGGCGAAAGTACCCAGCGAGCCGGCACAATTGGCAGACGCTTGTGCGAAACCGACGACCGAGCCAAAAGATGTAAAGTCGTGCGAAATCTGTACCGAAGTGCCTGCGCCGCAGCCACCGGCGGAATCGCTGCCCGCGAGAACAACCGCGGAGCAATGCGTGCTCGCGAGTCCGCAGGAAGCGGCGCCTCAAGGCGTGAGTCTTTTCCTCGAGGCAAAGGAACCGCCACAAGTTGACTCGCAAACGTCCCTCTTGACTTGTAGCTTGCCTGTGCAAGAAGCAGCTACGCCGGTCACGCAAACCGGCGGCACCGAGTTAGCGTTCGAGGCGAAACCGGAGACCCCGGCTGCTCAAGACGCGACGCAACCCGCAGCTCCGATTAGCTTGGGCAGTCCGCAGGTCATCGCCATAGCTTCTCCCGTAGCGAGCGAAACGCCAGTAGAAGACATTGCGAAACGTGCAGTCGAATTCGCGCCCGACGTAACGCAGCCTCTCACGATAGACCCGAGCGAGCGGCACGCGGAGATGCTGTTAGCGGCTTCCGAGATCTCCACTGTGAGCCCCGTGCCTATTCAGGTGGCGGAGTCGGTTCTTCAGGCTGAGCCCAAGGAGTCCGTGTTGGGCGCAGCTGTGGCCGTGAGCGATCAAGCGATCGCTACGACGGTCACAGCCGTGCACGAGTCCACGGACGTCGTTCCTGCGCCGATCCCGATGGAGTCCGTTCAGTTGAACGGGTCAGCCTGCGAAGTCGAGAGATGCGGTGACGTCATGAGAGATGCGGCTCTGGTCCCCGGTCTACCGGAAAAGACCGATGCTCCTACTGAGGCGGCCAAGGAATCAGCGAGCGACTTGGTTACCATCAAAGAACTGCCATCAGAGGCACTGCCGGCTATTGAAGGCGAGATATTAACCAGTAGCGGCGTGGTGCCCTCAGAAACATCATCCGTGAAAGAATCAGCGGAACAGGTTACGAGAACAGAAGCGGCAGAAGCGAAGCCTTCAGAACAGATTGTAAAGACCGAAACGGTGGAGGCGAAGCCCGCGGAACAGATGGGAGAGGCAGAAGTGCAGCCTCCGGGGCAGATTACGAAGACGGAAGCGGTTGCGAAACAAGCGGAGACGGCCGTGCCAGCTGAAACAACAGAATCAACATCTACCGAACGAGCCGCCGAAGTAGCGGAAACCGCTGCCGAAGTGGCGAGGCCGCCGAGCGAGGTTCCGGAGTCGCCGATCGCCGAGCAGAGTTCGCCGATGGAAGGACCCATTGAAGCGAAGCCGCCGAACGTCCCGTCGACGCCGACGGTCACCGAGGCCACGCCGCCGACCAGTCCGTCCGCGGAGAGCGCGCAGGAGACGGAGGAGGCGGTCGCGAAGAAGAGCTTGAAGAAGTCCGACTCGACGGACGGCGCCGAGGGGGAGGGCGCGGACAAGAAGGCGGGGAAGAAGACGGTGAAGAAGGTGACGAAGAAGCCGAAGAAGCCCGAAGAGGCGGCGCCCTCGGCCGCGGCGGAGGGCGCCGCCGCGGACGGCTCTCAGGGCAAGGCGAAGAAGCCCGTGAAGACAACGAAGAAGACCGGCACGAAGGGCCTGGAGGCCGACACGAGCGTGCCGGAGACACCGCCGCCGCCGACCACGTCGGCCGCGCCTGTTCCGCCCAAGCGGAAGACAAAGGGCCCGATCGGCAAGAAACCCGAGACGGAGGAGTAGCCGGTCGATCCAAGCCGACAAATGGTCTCGAACAGCGCCGGGAGTCTGAGAGGCCGGAAGACGTTCGAGGGGAAGAAGAAGAAGAAGAAGAAGCCTTCAAACGTGTGCGCGCTGAGCATCTCAAGAGGAGAACTTTAATCCTTTCGAGACTTCGCGTTCTTAGAAGACTAAGTATTTCCGCGCATGCTCTTTTTTTACGATTTTCCCGAGATAAAAGATTCGCCGTGAGATTCCCGATCGGTGATCTTTACCAGCTGCAAAGTGTAGTAGTCACGAAGTGTAGTCGCGACATAGTCCAAACGCTGTCTCGGAAGGATTGAAGGGTCCCGTCAGAAGATCGCACTCGCTAGTCTGTTACGGTTTTTCCTTTTTTTTTATACTTTTAATATAATATATATATCTCGCGAGAGTTTCTATATCGCCGTTGAGCTTCGATACCGCGCCCGCACCGCGGGGGTATCGAGCGATACCGAGAGTTTAAGAGCCGCGTTAAATACTCCACCTGTCCTTTTCTTTTAATTAACGAAATACTCGCTTCTCTCCCCCTCCCCCCTGTGGCTTGTTCCTACCTGTTTGTAATTATCGTTTCCTCGAATCAACGTTGCTCGGGACGAGGGTCTCGCACGTCTTGAAACGACGACGAGCCTGTGGTCTCGAGCGACGTGAGTTCGAGTGTCTTGTCGCGAGCGAGCATTTGCATATTTGTTATTCGCTTCAACGAATCCGATGATGGAGCCTGTCGCGAGAAGGAAAGCGGGGGATCACCATCTGTGATTGATTCTGTTGCGCGAGGGTACGCTTTTCTTTTACGCGATTCGAACGCGGCGTCAGGATCGTGTCGCCGGTGCCATGCAGTCCGATGCTTCTGAGACCACCGACGAGGGAGAGAAAGAGAGAGAGAGAGCCCTATGTTTTATTTACACGTGTGCGTGTGTGAGTGTGTGTGAGCGTGTGTGTGTTTACAGTGCACGGAGTCCTATCATAACTGCATCGATCGAGCGAGACGATAAATGAAAGGAAGGTCCACTTGCCTCGCGGAATCAATAATCAATAATTATTGTAATGTCATCAGGAAACGAGAGGCAGAGCGAGAGAGTCGGAGAGCAATGCTAATTTATTATACGCCACGAGAGCATTATAAGCAATACGAGAATGGCAACTGAGATATTACGTGAGAGATCTGAGCGGCTCATCTTTTGTATACTCAAATATATTATATATTATATATATTATATATTAAATTATATTTTTCAGTGTGTATTTTTACTCTGTCTTGTTGATACTTCTGAAAAAAAGATAAAGATGTTTCGCCTTATCCACATGTATGTATAAATAACAAATTTCTTACTCTAATTTAGATTTAAGCAGGTCAAACGGTTCTTTCTCAAGTGCACGGGGTATCGATCTGTCCGGAAGAGCCACGCAACTCGCTGCAAAATAGCATAACGCAACTGAAAGCTTTTTAATAATGATGAAGAGAAAAAGGCTTTGCCGATCCGTTCGCGGGAAGTAAGTTGTAGGAGATACTCCAAAGACGCAGTGTAAGATTTGTAACGAGACTTATCGCCAATAAAACACGTGTCGTCAATGAGGAACGTTATATTATTATTGAAAAATTATCAGCGGGTAAATTAATCACTGGGGAATTTATATTAATTTGTACAACCAGCTTCAGTTCCAGTTTTATTATAAGCGTAAGATACGAGGAAAGACTTGAGCCTCAAGTCTAAAAAATTAAGTTATTAGTTGAAGACATTTGACTAAAGAAGAAACGCATGTTAATTCCTTAGTACAGTCTTGGAAGAAGTGAATGGTCGAGGTTTCAGCGACTTGAGGCGCGCGTGTATAAATTCCAATTAGGAAAGAAATAACATTCCGTTAATTATATTAATATGCATCCTCCGGTTCTAGTTTTATTATAAACGTAAAAGATACAGGGATGGACTTGAGCCTCAAGTCAGAAAATAAAGTTGTTGAAGGCATTTGACTAAAGAAGAAACGCATGTTAATTCCTTAGTAACAGTCTTGGGAGAAGTAAATGGTCGAGGTTTTAGCGACTTGAGGCGCGCGCGTGTATAAATTCCAATTAGGAAAGAAATAACATTCCGTTAATTATGTTAATATGCACCCTCCGGTTCTAGTTTTATTATAAACGTAAAAGATACAGGGATAGACTTGAGCCTCAAGTCAGAAAATAAAGTTGTTGAAGGCATTTGACTAAAGAAGAAACGCATGTTAATTCCTTAGTAACAGTCTTGGGAGAAGTAATTAAATGGTCGAGGTTTTAACGATTTGGGGCGCGCGTGTATAAATTCCAATTAGGAAAGAAGTAACATTCCGTTAATTATATTAATATGCACCCTCCGGTTCTAGTTTTATTATAAACGTAAAAGATACAGGGATAGACTTGAGCCTCAAGTCAGAAAATAAAGTTGTTGAAGGCATTTGACTAAAGAAGAAACGCATATGTTAATTCCTTAGTAACAGTCTTGGGAGAAGTAAATGGTCGAGGTTTTAGGCGCGCGCGTGTATAAATTCCAATTAGGAAAGAAATAACATTCCGTTAATTATATTAATATGCACCCTCCGGTTCTAGTTTTATTATAAACGTAAAAGATACGTAGGGATGGACTTGAGCCTCAAGTCAGAAAATAAAGTTGTTGAAGGCATTTGACTAAAGAAGAAACGCATATATGTTAATTCCTTAGTAACAGTCTTGGGAGAAATAAATGGTCGAGGTTTTAGGCGCGCGCGTGTATAAATTCCAATTAGGAAAGAAATAAAATTCCGTTAATTATATTAATATGTACAACAGCTTCGGTTTAAATTTTATTATGAGCATAAAAGATACGAGGACAGGACTTAGCAGACTTAAACATCAAGTCTAGAAACAAATTGTTAGCTGAAGACATTTAATTAAAGAAGAAATCGGGGGGGAATGATGTAATTTCTTTACAGTTATAGTCCCCGAAGAAATAAATGATCGATTGGTTTGGCGACTTCAGGCGCGCTTTATACATTCCAACTAGGAAAGAAATTAAATTTCGTAAATTTATCTCGATGGCAATCGACGTAATTTAACGCCGCTAAAAAGTAATCGAAAACGGAGTCTCTCGCGCGAGGGACCTCCGCTTCTGCGCGGCGGAGCGCGCAGGTGTAGACGGGTGCAGCACCGCCGGGGGGCAGCAATGGCCGCCGGTGGCGCAGTGGTGCGCCGCGAGTGACAGATACGCGACGGATCCGCATCTCGAGCGCCGCATCGTCCCCGGGGTGTCCGCGCGGCTGTCTCGCGCGAGCGATAGAATGCCCGTTCCCGTCTGAAGTAACGAGCGCGCGCGAGAGAGAAAGAGGAGGCCAAGAGTGTTCGTGCGCGCGTGCGTGCGTGCGTGTGTGTGTGTTGTGTTACGCTTACGAGCGAGCGCGCGCGAGCGAGAACGACAGAGAGAGAGAGAGAGAGAAAGATAGGGAGCGAGCGGTGCGGCAACCCGCCACTGTCCCCGGCGCCGGTGGGATGATCAAGGATATGGCGGACGATGAGGCCATACAGGCCACCAACGACGACGCCAGCGAGTGCAAGCGGTACGCGGTGCAGCTCGGCTACTGGTGCGACCCGTTCATCAGCCTGTTCGTGAAGCAGACCGCGCGGAAGGCGCCCGAGATCAATCGCGGCTACTACGCCAGAGTCAAGGGCATCGAGCTCTTCGTCGACAAGTTCCTCAAGGTGAGCGCCGAGGCGCTACGCACGCCGCGCGGGGCTCCCCTCTCCGCCGCCCCCTCCCCCGACGTTCCCTTCGATTTTTCCTCGCCTCGCGGGCTCTTTCCACCCCCTTCTCGCCCTTCTGCCGCCGCGCGTCTCGCCGACGGTCGAAGGGAACGGTACCGTCGGCCCGCGGCACCACGGAGGAGTCGCTCTCGTCCCCTCTCGGCTCTGCACCTTCTGCACCCTCCGCGCCTCTTCCCGCCTCGAGTCGAGACGCGCGAGAGAAATCTACCGCCCCCGTGCCTCCTGCGGCTCCTCGCGCCCTCGGTGCACATCCGTTTTGTCGCCGCGCGTGAAAGATACACGCGAGTGCACGGATTTATCTGTCGCGAACGCGGAAGAGGCAGGTGGGTGCAGCTGAGACGAGCGCGGACCCCCTCGCGGCGAGTCTAACCTCTAGAACGCAAGTCGGAAACAATCGGGCAAGGGGGGGATGACGGAGAAGGAGCGAGAGAGAAGAAGGGGGGGGGGCGAATACAGCTGATCCGGGCGGCAGGGACGTGTCGCGGCGGAAACCTTGACCCGACGGCGGCCGAGGCTCTGTCCTAATTCCCGTGAGATTTCCCGCTTTCGTCGCGGCGGCCAGCCGATATATAGGTCA